TTACTCGCGCAAGCCAAAAAAAGTGCGGCTGGCTTGACCGTGAATTTTCAGAGATAGGACTAACCATAGACATATAAATACCTAGACGCCTCATTGGCCGTTTCGGTCCGTTGCTGCGATACGTCAACGCGTCCGCCATATTGGTGCGGGCAAGAGTTCCCTGTAAACAAATGCAATGAACAGGGAGAGCTGCGGTTTTTCTGTATAAAAATATGACAACGTTTGTTTTTATCAACTGATATCAGTGGTTTATGATGTACGTGGTGTACAAAAAAAATCCAGATACTTAAAATCTCGATAGTTAAATTAGATATTAAATAAATTTAACTAAGGAATTATTAGAATAGACAATAACAATAAAATGAGTTGTGTGTAATGAGTAGTACCCTAACAGCATAATAATAGATTGATAATAGCAAATTGTATAATAATAATAATACTATTTGATATTACATTCTAATGTATGTATTGCAAAATGCAAAATGATATAGACAATAAAAAGGTAAATAGGGAGTAATGAATAGTACAATAAGTAAAATAATAACAAATAACACTAAAAGCTATATAATGAGGATGACTGGCGAATAAACCTCTCAGCTGATCTGACCACCTTCATTGTACCTTCAGAAGGAATCATCAGTCCTCCATTGTTTTTCAGTGTAAGCAAGTGGTAGCTCTGATCAAATGACGCAGATACAGCATCTGTCACCAAGCTAGCACGACACACATCACAGGACAGCTTCCTCAAAATCTGACGAACAACAAACCCTGAAATGTACACAAGGGCATTGTCCACAAGGCTCCCAAGACGGGTTGGCAGGTAGTTGTGGTCACACACAAGTGCAGAGATGTTTACAAAAGGGGATGGAATGTCTTCAGATTCTTCTGTTGCTAGAGTCGACGACATCTCAACAGCCGATAGGGACACGGTCTCATTCTGTTCTACCACATTTCCTGAAATGCTTGGTGAGACACCGCACCGGACCATGAGATGGCGGAAAATGCCCTGGAACTGGCCTGCAGTAGGATTGTTATTCCAGCCTCCTAAAAACAAACACACAGACACATTCACAACACTTAAGGAATAGTTCACCCAAAAATGAAAATTTGCTGATAACGCCCTAAGGCCACCCAAGAGGTGTAAGACTTTTTTTATCAGACTAAAAAATCATTAGATGTAGAAAGTCGTATATATATCTTGGCCTCGGTGGAGTAACAGGTAGGTAAACGAGCAGATTGTGGAGTAACAGGTAGGTAAACGAGCAGATTGTGGAGTAACGGGTACGTAAACGAGCAGATTGTGGAGTAACAGGTAGGTAAACGAGCAGATTGTGGAGTAACAGGTAGGTAAAAGAGCAGATTGTGGAGTAACAGGATAGTAATCCAAAGAAAGGCAGTAGATCTTGGGTGAGACAAAGCCGCAGGCATTTAGTAACAGGATAGTAATCCAAAGAAAGGCAGTAGAGCTTGGGTGAGACAAAGCCGCAGGCATTTAGGAGTAAGACTGCATGGGTGTTTGAATCGGGATTTGAATTAATCAAGCATTTAATACTGATATTTGCACTTTTCAAATGATTTTTTTTATATATATTTGCAAATTTCAGAAATCCTTACCTGATGCCCTGATAGAATTGAAGAGGAGCTCCAAGTGATCCTGGCTAAATCGATAGGTGCAGACATATCGCTGAAATTGTAGCAGCTCAGGAATCAACAACATGAGGGTATCAATGTTGATGATGAACCCCATGACAGACAGGTACCTTCAAAAGAAAATGTTTTGTCAATATGTCAGTATTGTCAATATGGCAAAATCAAGATACTCCAAAGGTAGCACTGTAATTTTGCTCACTGAAAGCTGTAAATGGACTTGATCTAACAACAACACAGGGTGACAGGCTGGGGCAGTGACCAATAGATGGCTATAATAATTGAAATTGTGCTCCATTGTAAGATCAGTCAACGAGATTGATAACGGGACAATGATACATTAATTGTAAAATCCGAAATGTTTGGGGCTTTTGGGAAAACATTCAGGATGGCTCCCAAGAAGCCACCCCACTGCAATGTCCCTGGTTGGTAACTGCATTTTCAGAGTACATAAAATTATAAAATGTAAAGTGAATACTGCAAAATGACTGCATGCTCCTTAAGAGTGTAAATTAGTTAAAGATGTTATTTTCATGTTACCAGAGTAGAAACTGAGTCTCTCTTTCAGATCTTCATTTATGAGGTTCTTTCCCTGCAGATCCTCTAGATAGAAGATCACACACAGTCTTCTTTGCCCTCTGTTCCCGGTCCTTTACATTCCTCAACTCGTGCTCTAGACTCTCCACTCTAGCCAAGGCTTCACAGAGTCTGGTCTTTAGACCAGTGGGAGATGCAGGCAATGCATAGGGGTGGTCCTATTAGAGAAAAGAATGAAAATATTTGGAGTAATGTTAATTTCACACGAAACACAGCCTCAGCTGTTTGGGGCATAACTAGTACAATGTTCTGTCAGCTGGCTTGCATTCTTAAACATGTTGGTGTTGAATATGCTTCCCTGGCTGATGCTGACACACACTCACACTCACACACCCACTACCCCTCTCCTCACACACACACACAAACGATCACCCACAAACCCACTGTGATAGCAGTGGGATTGAGGGGAAATTAGGTTAAAGGACTATTCTCATCAAACTTATCTCATCATTTACTCAGCCCCCTTCCATCCCAGATGTGTGAGACTTGTTGATTTGAACACAAATATTAGGATTTTAGAGTTTTTAGATGAGTAGGTTGATAGAATGGAAGGAGACAAATTGTGTAAAAATCTCCAGTTCATGATCAGGCGAACAATGAAAATCATACACATACCATCTGAGATGAAATTAGAGTAAATAAATTACAACAATTTTTCATTTTTGTGAGGAACAATTGTTTAATCTCATGACCCCTCAATCCCACTGCCATCACAGTGTTTGTATGTGGGTCAAAGACGAAGTGTGTTTCCAGCATCAAAAAAATAAAAGTATAATTTCCCCAATATTTTGACATTTTATTGTCTCAAAAGTTATTTGAAATATGAAAGTAGACAATTTACTTGCATTTAAGATGTTTTTATGCATTTAAAAATGA